CCCGGGTTAATTTTTTATTTATTGTAGAGATGAGGTCTCGCCAAGTTGCCCAGGCGGGTCTTGAACCCGCGGGCTCAGGCAATCCACTCACCTCGGCCTCCCAAAGCGTGGGATTACAGGCTGAGCCACCAAGCCCGGTCTACAGCATTACTTACAATAGCAAGAACATGGAACCAACCAAGCTGTCCATCAGAAGAGGACTGGATAAAAAATGTGGTACATATATACAATGGAATATTATGCAGTCATGAAAAAGGACAAAATTATGAACTTCACAGCAACTTGGATGGACTTAGAGACTATAATACTGAGTGACCTATCACAGAAACAAAGAACCGAGTATCACACGTTCTCACTCATAAGCGGACCTTGAACAACTCTCAGACTGTAAGAAAGGGATTGGCCATAGTGGGAAACTGCCAGGGGAGGGGGGGCACACCTCATCAACAAGGGTACCTGCATAACAAACATTTGTATACCCAACTCTGAATTGTACCCCACATAGTTACAATAAAAAAAGTTTTTAAAAATAAAATAATAAAAAAATAAAGTGCAGATTCTTGGACCCCACTCCAGACCGACTGAATCTGAGCTTCCACCCGGGAGGGCAGAAATCTTAGCAAGCTTCCCCAGATGATTTGCATGATGCCATGGGACCCAAAAATAGGTAAGAAGCACCCTGATGTATTAAAAGGAAGAAAGCCAACTACATACAAATTCAGCGTAAATAAACATATCAAATATTAAAAAATTTTTAAATATATAAACTGTGTGCATGTGGTTTGTGTGTACTGATAGGTACCTAGATACCAAACACTGACAACTATCACCCTAGATCAGTTTCTCAACCTCGGCACTACTGACGTTTGGGGCCAGATGACTGGAGTGGGGCCGTCCTGTGCATTGCAGGATGGTCCAACGAGCCCTGGTCTCCACCCTAGATACTGGTAACACCCCAGCGTGGTAACAATAAAAAACGTGTAGCACAACAGGGTGACTATTGTGAACAATAATTTATTGCATCTCTCAAAAGAGTGAATTGGAATGTTCCTAACACAATGCAACGAAACCTGCCTGAGGTGATGGATATCCCAAATACGCTTATGTGATCATTACACTGAATATGTTTGTGTCAAAATAGCACATGTACCCCATAAATATGGGGTTTTGTTTTGCTTTGTTTTGTTTTGGTACATATGCCAATTTTTTAGCTTTTTTCTAAAGTGAACATAAAGTATTTTACTCATGTAAAAACACTTGGTGTTTCCTAATGGCCCACTGACTGTGCTATTAAAGTATATTCAAATGAAAAGATATTCACAAGCTGGGCTCCGTGGCTCAGGCTGTAATCGCACGCCTTTGGGAGGCTGAGGTGAGTGGATTGCCTGAGCCCGCGGGTCGAGGCCCACCTGGGCAGCGAGACCTCATCTCTACAATAAATCAAAAAATCAGCCGGGCGTGGTAGCGCATGCCTGTAATTCTGGATACTTGGAAGGCTGAGGCGGAAGGATCACCAGAATCCAGCAGGTCGAGGCTGCAGTGGCCGGGAGCGGCCACTGTACTCCAGTCTGGGCGACAGAGTGAGACTCCAACTCAAAAAAAAAAAAGAAAAAGAAAAGATATTCATAGTACTATTTACAGTAAGTCAATTCATTTTATTTTGATTAAAACTAGCAATAGAAAAACATATATGAAGGCCTCAAAAATGTCAATATTTCCTTAGTTGCCTTTAAAATATTTATAACCTTTGGACTAAACTTCCTAATTTTAATAACATATCATAAAGAGACAATTCTAAATATAAGAAATAATTTACAAATATTGTTGATTTTTGTAGTTACTTATAAAAACAAAAAGTTATAAACACTATAAAACCAGCAATACAAAACTAAGTTAATTATGGTACTTTCACATGATAGACTATAATACAGTATTAAAATGATGTTTTTAAAGAGTTTATAACAAAGTGGGGGAAAGGTTTTACCATATTGTTAAGTGGGGAAAAAAATCTGAATACAAAATCAAATATGTACATCATCAATAATGATAATAAAAAGAATCTTAAACATTAACATGGTCAAAAGAAATATACCAAGATGTTAAAAAGGCACTGTGAATTGGACAATGGCATCATAGGTGACTTTTTTCTCTCCACTCTTCTGAAATATCCAAATATTCTATAACAAGCATGTATGCATTTATAGTGAGAGAGTGAACAGTAAAATTTATTTTTTCAGAAGCTTTTCTTAGAGAAACGATTTTTATTTAAAAAAAAAAAAAAAACTTCAAAACGGGGCCAGACACAGTGGCTCATGCCAGTAATCCCAGCACTTTAGGAGGTGAAGGTGGGAGAATCAATTGAGCCTAGGAGTTTAAGACCAGCCTGAGCAACAGAGAGAGAACTCATCCTAACAAAAAGACAAAAATTAGCCAGGTGTGATGGCATACACCTACAGTCCCAGCTACAGCTACTTGGGAGACTGAGGTGGGAGGATTGCTTGAGCCCAGGAGGTCGAGGCTGTGGTGAGCGGGGATCATGCCACGGCATTCCGACCTGGGCGACAGTGAGACCCTGTCTCAAAACAAACAAACAAACAAACAAAAACACTAGAAAATGATCACAAATAAAATGTGCTGAAATATCAGGTAAGAAATATGTCTTTATAGTCATCTGTATACATATTTGCATCCGGATGATAAAAGTAACTTTGCTCAGAAATTAGCCCCAGTCAGAAACAACAATATAAATGAAATATGATGGTATCTACATTCATCAAAATTCAAGAGTGATTACCATGCAGGTGGTCAGGATAGGATTGCACAGAGTCACATAAGTTACAAACAGAAAATGCTTTCTATGAAAAACAAACTGGATAAACGTTTTTCCAGCCTGGGATCATATTCTTCTGAAGCAGAGGGTCTCATTTAGAAGAACATAAAATCACTGGGGTTTGATTAGGATTAGTTAACCAAGGACAGATTTCAGCCACCTCATGGATTTTGATCTTCCTTGTTTACATCCATTAAGAGAATGGTCAACCCCAGCCCACAGGAAACACAATCTTTGCAGACAAAAGGCGGCCTTTCTCATATTTGTCAGGCAATATTTGCCCAACCTGGCCATTCCCAGGTGGCTCCGATGCAGTCCCTTGTTGGCTGTCTCCTGGGGCTCTTGTGGACCCAGGCTATATCTTACAATAGACCTCAAAGAGGGAGGCAGCTGCGTGCATTCGGTAGAAAATAGAAAAAGGCATGGCCAGGTTGACCACAATTATCCAGGGTTCAAAGCCAAAGACAATTTCCTCCAGTCCGTTGTCATACTCAGGGCGGCAGCCGAAGGCAGGAGGTATCCAGAGCTGCAAGAGAAGAGGAGACGGCCTGTCATGGTGAGCAGCTGCCCAGCCACCCAGGAGGCGCCTTCGGACCCCAGCGCGAGTCGGAGCGAGAGGAGACTCCGCACAGCGTTTCTCACCGCCACGGAGCCCGGCCCCGCCCCCTCTCCACCCACCCACCCCTCTCACACCACGTCCCGAACGGAAGCTTCTGAACCCATCTGTCTCTCAGCCCCCAGCCTCAGTCTCCTCATCTGTGAGGTGGGGATACCGGCACCTGCTGAGAGGCTTCCATGCGAGAAACGTGAGAACTGAGCCTGCAAAACTGGAAGCAGCGACCTATCACCTGTGCGTTCATGGGACCTACACACTGGCTCCTCGTCTCAACCTCTTCCTTCCCGGTTCCCTCCCCCCTGCACCCCCCAATTCTGATGTCAAGACTGTGCAGCGGGGCCCTGGGCCAGCTGCCTTCGGGCTGCATGCTGCTGCAGGTTCCCCCATCCCCACCCCGTGGCAGGCGACCCCAGGACGGCCTGCAGGGGGTCCCCAGCTCCTGGAGCCACGCCCGTGCAGTCCCCTCCCCAAGTGCGGCCGAACCTAGCAACTGCCCCCCTTCTCCTCCTCCTCCTCCTTCCTCTCCCCTCCTCCTTTCCGTCTTCCTCCTTCTTCTTCTTTCTCTCCTCCTCCTCCTCCTCCTCCTCCTCCTTTTTCTTTTGTGGAGATGAGGGATCACCACGTTGCCCACGCTGGTCTCGAACTCCTGGCCTCAAGCAGTCCTCCCACCTTGGCCTCCTAAGGTGCTGGGACCACAGGCAGGAGCCACCACACCCAGCCAACTTACCTCTAGTCAACAAAATACGGCAAAAGTCATGGGAAATCCCTTCCGAGATGAGGCTGCCAGAGGTCTGCTATCCATCTTGCTTATCCTCTCTCCAGGAGAGGAAGCCAGCCGCCATGGCACGACCCACAGGGCCCATGCAGAGGCCATGTGGCAGGGAGCCAGGGAGGCCCACAGCCAGCAGGGAGCTCAGACCCTCGGTCCAACGTCCCACAACTGAATCCTGGCAAGAGCCACAGGAGGGAGTTTGGAAGCAGAGCCTCGCCCCCCGCTTCTTTCAAAGTCAGTCCTTGAGAAGCCTGCAGCCCTGGCCGACAGTTTCAGCCCGGAAGTGCTTACCCAGTTCAGCTGCACTACGAGCCTTTTCCTAGCTTTTAAAGAACCTGCGCATCCGTGCGTGTGGCACCCACGAAGGGAGGGTCCCGGAACCAATCCCCCTCAGGTACTGAGAGACGACTGTAGCTCTCGCCCACCGGCCGTGCCACTCGCGGCCACTTCAGGGGCTCTCCCACCCCTTCCGCCAGCTCTCCCCAGTCTCCTTTGCGGTTTCGCCCTTTGCTCCGCCTCCTAGTGCCGCCGGTGCCAGGGCTCACGCCTGGGGCCCTTCTCGTCCCTACGGCGAGCGCGCTGGAGCTCTCGCCCCATCCCGGGCTGTCGGCCCCTCCCTTCCCCATCGAAGCCTCAGCCTGGACCGCGCTCAGGACGCTCCTGTTTTCCACTGGAGACCTGAGTGTCTGAAACGCCTCCCGGACTCCGCTCGCCTTCCGCATCCCCCCGTCCGGTCAGCAACCTCCTCCTCCTGGGCGCTCTCGGCACCAGGGGTCCTCTTGGCTTCCCTCTCACTCTCATCACCACCCCCACCGCCATCTTGACTTGCACCTCGAAAGCAGTATCTTCAGTCCACCGTGACTCCCCGCCTCCACCCGTCCAGCCAGCCCCTCTCACCCGGGCCATCGCGGGGCCTCCTCCGTGGTCTCCATGCTCACGCTATTGCCCGGACAGGCTATTCTCTATGCGGTTGCCACATCACCCTTTTTTCTTCTTTCGAGGCGGTATCACTATGTCACGCAGGCTGGAGTGTGGTGGCATGCACCATAGCCTCAACCACCTGGGCTCAGGTGGTCCTTCTGCCTCAGCCTCTGGAGTAGCTGGGACCACAGTCGCACACCGCCACGGTAAGGCTATTTTTTTTATTTTTGTAGAGACGAGGTCTGGCTATGTTGCCCGGGCTGATCTCAAACTCCTGGGCTCAAGCAGTCTTCCACCTCAGCTCACAAAGTGCTGGGATTACAGGCATGAGCCACCACACCAGCCAAGACTAACCTTTTGGAAATCTGATCATGCCCCTGCCCTGATTAAACCCTCCAAATCTTCCCAGAATATTAAAAATGAAATTGGCGAGTGCAGTAGTGTGTTCCTATAGTTCTGGCTACCTGGAAGGCTGAGATGGAAGGATCACCTGAACCCAGCAGGTCAACACTGTGGTGACTGTGAGCGTGCCACTACACTCCAGCCTGGGCAACAGAGTGAGACTCTGACTCAAAAAAAATAAAAAGGAAGAAAGAAAGAAAAGAAAAAATAAAATCCACACTCCTACATGGGATTATAAAGCCCTCTGGAAGCTGATTTCAAACCACCCTTCACCCCTTCTTCCCATGTGGCCCCAGTCACGAGACCCTTCCTCCTCTTCCTCAAACCAGATCAGCTCACTCTCACCTGGGGTTTTTGCACCATCTGTTCCCTCTGTCTGGAGCACGTGTGGCCAGCCCCTCCCTGTCTTGCGTCATCATTCAGAGAGGCCTTCCTGCCCAGCTGGTCCTTCTGATTAAAAATGGCCACCCTAGCTGGGCTCGGTGGCTCAGCCTGTAATCCTGTGCTTTGGGAGGCTGAGGTGAGTGAATTGCCTGAGCCTGCGGGTTCGAGACCCGCCTGG